ATCCTCGTATCTTTCCCTCGCGTCTCAGGAGATGAAAGAAAACGTTTTTCTCCCTGAGTCTGGCCTTCATAATTCCATTCCATCACAGGGAGGCTTCTATTCTTTGGTCTAGGGGTGGGATTCCAGGGGGCTTTGTCTGGGGCAGGGAGGATTAATTTGGGTCTGAGGGGATTAGGCAAAGAGAAGAACTGGGTCTGACCTTGATCATGTCCATAAGATTGGGGGGAGGGGTGCAGTATCCATTTCGTTAGGTTTATTTTCTCCACTACACTTATGTCATACAAAAATGTGCATCTTGATTAAGCAAAAGCAGTCAATGTGTGCAGGACACGTGTGGTTTTTTGGCCCCTATATCACACAGCTGCAATTTGGGTAAAAGTGTATTATTGCGCTCTGTTTTCTCTAGCTAAGGGTCCAAATTACCTGAGTGCAAAACTCTGCCTAGTCAAGAATACAATACAGAGCTAAAGCAAGATGAAAGCCAAAAAATGCCTAATGGACTTCCCACTGTAACATGTGAACTGCTTTATATTTCAACTTTTCTCATATGTAGCCTCCAAGAAGACGGAGATTAAAAGTGTCGGTTGATAGGAAACTAATGCAGACATATACACTCTTCCAGTTCTTTAGAGTGTTGCTTGACAATTCAGAGCTCACATGGTTCACCCCTCTGAACCCACCATTAATTGGAGCAACACTTTATTTTGGCTCCAAGTTAGCTAGAATGTATGTATGTGGGAGCCAACCTGCCAGAAGAGCAAGCAGGCTGATGTGGGATTCCAGCAGCTTTGGCTTCTCTTTGTTCCTGCTTTTCTTTGCCTTTGAACAGGCTATTATAAAGAAAGAATATTCTCTAGGTCTGCTCAGAATGGGTAGGTTTATGGAACTCCAATTGCTAATGCTACAGAGAGAGTGATTTCAAGTCATTCCCCCATGAAGCCAACATCCCCATATATCAGCAAAGCTGAAAACACCATACCATTTTCACAACAGCATCACCTAGCATTTCAATGAAACTGAAATGAATTTACTTTCATTTATGTATGTTTTAGTGAGCATCAGATTAATTAAAGACAGTGGGTGATGTCAAAACTCCCCATGTGTTGAATCATTTTCCTCTTCTGTCCCGTTAAAATTGTGAAGCATTAACACCTTGTGAAAATTTTAAATGTGACCCCCAGAGGTCATATTTAAATTTTTCAGGAGCTGCATCTTGCCCTAGGACCTTAGACAATGCTCTTTTTCTGTTAGAGCAATCCAAAGGTTTCACATACATCAGAAGCGTAAGGGGCTTAAGAGATCAACTAGCATAGCCAACCCTCTGCTAATGAGGACTCCTGCTTTCATATTCTGAAAGGTGGTTGGCAACTGCTATTAGGTGAAGTTTTGCTTTCATTCCATGGTGGAAATGTTTCTCCTACCAGGTTTGCCCAAATCTGCCTCCCTTCCATTTCCATCCAGTGGCTCTAGCTGTGCTGCCTGGGACACAGAGAATTTAATGCCTCTGTAGATCAGGCAAGAAGATCAACAACCTTAGCACCCCATCTCCCACAGTGGTAACACACAGGACAAGGCTGGGAGATGGATATGTTTATCTCAAGCCATCTAATAATGTTACAGTCAAAGCCTGTACTATATGGGCCCTCCAGCAGGACAAGCAATATGGCGACTTTCATGCTCTGTTTCCAGAAGGAAGGGAGGGCTCAGTAACTTGATCCAGTAAAATATTCAGGCTATAATTCATTTCACCTCCCAACATTTCTCTTTCCCTAGGTGCCTGCTTGCATTTCAAAAAAAAGTATGCAAATCAGTCATCTACCACTCAGGTTTACACTTCACCAGGGGTGGGGGAAAGTACAAGAAATTCACCCCCTTCCAGCCAGTCAGTTCTCTGGAAATGACAGGAGCAGTAGACATGCCAGTGCAACAATAAATAAATCCACTTGGGAGTAAAAGATTAATTTATCATATACAGTCCAAAGAAGGCAGATAGGAAATGAGTGTGATAGATTTTCTCCAGCCATTTAATTAAATTTAGACGTTACTAATAAAAGCGCTTTATTTCTCAGACTGATAAAGCCTTGGATGCAATCATTTCGAGAACCTGAAATAAAGCTCCTTACAGACAAAGCTAATCGTCTGTCTTCTGTGGATGCACCTTCTTAGTTCCTGCAAAGGAGCAAACTCGGGAATGTTTTAATGGGGAAATGGGTGGTAGGGTGGAATCCTCCAGAAACACTTCTTCTTCTGAGAACTTGGTTTAGAAAAGATGCTCCATAAATCACTGCATTTTGCAAGGTCATGGGTGAACATCGCTTGTGTTCCCCATGAGATGAGTCATGATACTTATTTTATAAATGAGGCATTGAAGCTGAAAAAAAAGAAAACAACAGGATGTTATCCCATTTGAAAAAGCATCCACCAACTGGCTACATTAACTGCTGATGATTTATATTACTTAAATTACTCCAGAGGATGAATGTGAAGGAAAGGGATTTTTTAACTCCTTTCTTATCCATGGTTTCTACACTCAGCATGTAGTCACCAGTTGCTTTTCTCCACAATAAATAAAAGACCTAACTATCGATCTTACACACACACACACATACACACACACATATAGCACTAAGAGGTTGAGATTATTTTGACAGCTGGGGTCAAAATAACATTCAGCCTGGTGTCCTCCAGATAAGATGGACTACAACTCACTTCATTCCCAGCCAGTACGTTGGCTTGGGATGATGTAAGCTATAGTCCAACCCATCTGGAGAGCACCACTTTAGGGAAGACTCAAGCAAGAAAAATCACAGAATAAGATATTAACATGAACTTCCTGCATCTCCCCTTTTTTTCATACCAGAGCACCAAAACAGCATACTCAATAAAGCAACATGAGTTTAAAGTGATAGAACAGCCTATTAAATAACATTATCTCAGGATATATTTAAACATTTTTTTTAATGAAAGATGTAGACTTGCTCCTAATCAGGGAAAAATGAGTCCCTGATGAAAAAGGCATCTGAGCCCAAGAGCTTTCAGATATTTTGGTAACTCAGCCAGATGGATTATTCTGAAATGGACTATTCTGAAATGCATGTGGCTTTCATGCAGTTCACACTATCAACCTTGTCCTCCCTCCTTGCCTTCTCTCTCTCTGTTTCTAACACATGCCTGCACACACACAAGCTCTCTCTCTCTCACACACACCCAAACTTGTTTGAAACAGAAAAGGAATACAACTGGCAGTGCTTTCGCAGAATCCAGGGAGTTGGTTCTCATGCTTTGCAACACCTTTGTCCGAGGGACAGCAGTACAGCTATGGGGTCTGCTGAAAAGAAGGACAACAAACTCTGAAAAAGGACATCAGCACCCAAAGAATGGAACACCAAACAGGTAATGTGGTCTCTCTGTTTCTCCTCTGTCCCTCATGCAAGGGTGCAATTCAGGGTTGCCTGGAAATCTTTCCTGGGGTTCTAGGAAGAGTGGTGGGAACCTCTTACTATCTGCCTTGCCTTTGTTTTTCTTTCTGATGTTCCTTTTTATTCTATCTCTTGACCACCTTCTGTCCTCTGCCTCTAGGAACCAATCCAATTGATATGCTCAGCCAGCCAACACCTTCGCTCTTCCTCCAACACTTGATATCCCATACTTAGGAATGAATCTATGAATGAATAACAATAGTAATAACAATTATCAGCTGTTCTGACTTTCCAGCCTGTTGTTTATAATCACAGTAATACAACAATGTTAATCCTTTTTGTCCCTTCACCCTGCAGCTATGTCTGAGGGGACTCAAACGGGTCTGAATTTTTCATCCTGTCTGGGCAATGGATGTGTGACTGCTGCAGAACATCCTTTTCAGCACCATGGAGAGTTTTCAGCACCCGTCACTGTACTCTTGGCAATACTCATGGGACTCCTAGTCTTGGTCACTGTCTTGGGCAATGCATTGGTCATCTTGGCATTTGTGGTGGACAAAAGCCTACGGACCCAAGGGAATTTCTTCTTCCTGAACTTGGCCATCGCAGACTTTTTAGTGGGTGAGTGAAGCCTCTGGGAAATGAGCAAAGCCAAGGGAGAGTAAAAGATGGGGGTCCGGGGTAGGGGTTGGTTGGTTTCTCTCTGGGAGCTCAAAGTACCATTGATGAGCAAGGAAAGGGGTCTCCCCTCATTTTATCCCAAGAGCAACCACTATGTGAGGTAGATTGGGCTGAGGAGGAAACAGGGTTCACACTTCTTGGTTAGTGTTTACTTAACCAATGGGTTGTTGACTAAGCCATAATGGGTTGGGTTTACATAGCATTCCATATCAAACCCAAAGTTGTGATAGGTTTCTGAAACTAATAGAACTAGGATGAAAGAGAACACGATCCAAACCCTCAATTGCAACCATAAAGCTGACAGGGTGGCCTTGAGTCAGTCACTGCCTAGGATTGCTGTGGTGATACCTTATATTAATACAATATGCTTAACCTGGTTGTTGAATTCACCCATTTGCAGGGTCACACAATACAATGAACTGTAAGCCAACCAGAATAAGGTGGGTTTACACAGCACATTAAGCCACAAAACCAGGTTTGAACTAAGTTTGAACCAACCTTCAAACTAAACCAGGCTAGCATGCTGTACGGATGCAGCCCCTGGGTTTGTAACTGATTTTGTTAAATGTGTTGTATGCACAAAGCCACTGTGGAAGAAGTTAGAGAGATCAACACAAGTTGCCTTGTGTTCTTCAGAGGAAAGTGTGTGTGTGTGTGTGTGTGTGTGTACACACTGTATGAGAAATGAATAAATGTGACAGTGAAGGCAAAATCAAAGATTAAAGCAGCATGGGTTTGGAATACAAAGAGTAACTGCAGTGAAGACAATGTGTAGTTCCATTGACATGGCAACTATAGAGTTGTATCTCTTTCTGGCTCAGTTTTGTATCAATTTTAAATGGAAAAAGGAATTTACTTCGCAGGGACATTATGTGCACAAAAAAGAGGAAAAAGCAGTGTTGCTCGTGAGTTATAAATGGGAATTTAGTTAATATCATAGTGGCACAATGGCATTAATTTTTGTTTCCCTCAATAAAGATTGAAAGGTGGCTTTTTATGTGGAATCTAAAGCGGGGAGGGGGGCAGCTGCAATTCCCAAGTACTCCTCAGCATCCATTTAAACCCCAGAGTCCCCAAACTATGCTGACGGAAATTATTTACATTTGAAAGGAGGAGTTTAAGAGGCAGAACAGGCTCATTAAAACTGAGCCTGAAAATATCCATTGCATCTCTTAAAAACCTGGAATGCATGCCTTCAACCAGAAAATTTAAGTACACTCTTCTCAAGACTTAAAATCCTAAAGGAAGGAAGGAAGGAAGGAAGGAAGGAAGGAAGGAAGGAAGGAAGGAAGGAAGG